AACACAGCAGGCCAAGCAGCATCAGAGGAGCAGGAAGGCTGACGCCCGAAACGTCAGCCTTCCTGCTCCTCTGATGCTGCTTGGCCTGCTGTGTTCATCCAGCTCTACACCTTGTTATCTCAGCCCGAAACATCAGCCTTCCTGCTCCTCTGATGCTGCTTGGCCTGCTGTGTTCATCCAGCTCTACACCTTGTTATCTCTGTACCTTTGATAGCTCTCACTTTATCTTCCAATGTGTGTAACACAGTCTTGTGATACTGTAGCCCAAGTAGACCACTTGAACTGCATGCAACACACATTTTTCCCTTCTTAGATGTGTGCCGCTTCAGAAAACCATCTAAAGACTATGTCCAAGTTCTCTAAGTGCTCCTTAGTAGTCTTCCCTGTTATTAGCACTTCATCTAAGTTAGCGGTGACCTGAGGTAGACTTTGCAAAATGTTGTCCATTGTCTGCTGGAAAATTGCACAGACTGACAATACCCCAAATAACAGTCACGTATAAGAAATTGTTAGTACAAACCCTTATGGGTATTAATTGCAGCATGCCTCTGGGAATCCTCATCTAACCGCACTTGCAAGTACACATGGCTCATGTCCAGTATTGTGAAGGACAGATCTCCTGCCAGCTTTGAGTACAAGTCCTCTATTCAAGGGATATGGGTATTTATCGAACTGCAAAAAGCAGTTTACCATTTGTTTAAAAGCCCCACAAAGGCAAACCGACTCGTCAGGTTTCACAATTGTTACGACTGGTTCTGCCCATTCTGCAAATTGGATTGGTTTGATGATTCCTTCACTTTCCAGCCTTCTAATTTCCACCTCAATAATGGATGATAATGGAATAGTTTAGGTTAGATGGGCTTCAGATTGGTTTCACAGGTCGGCGCAACATCGAGGGCCAAAGGGCCTGTACTGCGCTGTATTGTTCTATGTTCTATGTTCTATGTTCAACTTCTGCCTGTGGGGCAGGTGACAGTAGGTAGGCCTTGCAGAATTGTGGAATTGCTTCTTGGTCAACATGCAAGGCAGCCTTGGCTCCTCTGATAGTCCCTAGACCTTCCTGAAAAACATCTGGGTATTTTATTAGGACTTCACTCAGGCAGCTATTTTTTCATTTTAGAATGTTGAGCCAATCGAGGTGAGTCTCTCTCAAGCAATTTCATCCTGTCAACCTTGGACATGAGCCTTTTACTACAATCAGTGGTAACTGAACCAGTTCCTTTTCATAAAGACTGGAACTGAAGTTGTATCCTTAATCTATTAAGGTTCCCTGGTATAGATTCTTAGTCTAGCCGAGGTCTTGTGCAAACTTAATGGTTGGAGTCCAGTGCAAATTTTGTTAAAACCTAGTTCTGTGATCACTGATATAGCTGCAGCGGTATAAACCTCCATTAGAACTCAGTGACCATTTAGCCAGATGTTTATTTTGATTGGTTCTGATTTGGATTTTGCAAAGCAATTTTACTGTTCCAGCTCAGATGTAGTCAGAAATCACACAACACCAGGTTATAGTCCAACATGTTTATTTGAAATCACAAGCTTTTGGAGCCCTGCTCATTTGTCAGGTGAAGTCAACTCACCCCAGTCCAACACCAGTACCTCCATATCATGGCAAACCAGATATAGGTGGACTTGCTATTGTGTGCACTCTCCTAGACTATGACTTCTCCTACTCAATTTAGATCTAGTGGGACTCTTTTGCTGTCTCAAATCCGCATTCCAGCAGCAACTACAGCCAGCCTGGATCCTGAAGAAAATTTTAACCATTTGGCTGAGGTTTGGCTTTGTTTTGGGGTTTTGCTGTGAGCCAACCAAGAGTTCCTCTAATCAGGGTACGTCCTGAGTGAGGCTATGCAATTGCCTGCACTCAAATGGTGTTCCCAGTTTCAGTCGGTGATGGTATCCACTTCTATCGGAATACCCTGCAACTCATATGCTCCACTTGCCACATTTTCCAATGATAAAGCCAGTTGTAGTGCATGTTTGAAGTCCAGTTGGGCTTCAGCTAGTAGGTGCTTTTGCACGGTTACATCATTCATCCCACATACTAAGCATTTCATTGAGAGATAAATCAAAATCACATGTCTCTGCCAGTCATCTTAACCTATTCAAAAATCCTGACACAGATTCCCCTGGCTGTTGAATTGCCAAGTAAAATTGGTAACATCTCAACATTAAAGGAGGCTTGGGGTCATAATATTCCTTAACTAAATTCATCAGGTTTTGAAAGGTTTTAGTATCTGGCGCCTGAGGGAAAGATAGGCTCCTAATAACAGAAAAATCTGCCCGTCCACAGGGTGTCAGGAGAATTACTCATTGCTTTCATCTGCCTCAATGTCGTTTACTCAGAAAAGATAATTCATTCTTTCGACATACTGGGCCCAGTCTTCAACAGCAGGGTTGAACAAGTCAAGCTTCCCAAATAATGACATGATGCAAGAAATGTTTACCGCAACTCGAAGACAATTGTTGCCAGCAAGTTTCTTCAGGAGCATGATTTGGTCTCATCATCACTGAAATAACCCCACAGAGGCCAGTCTCCCGAAACCAAGTCACCCTTTATTTACACATGGAAAGTTCTTGACTCTGGTACAGCCCCATTAGAGTCAGCACTCAGAGTGACTCTGGCCCTTCTCTTTTTATCTGTCAGCCAGGGCTCTCTGATTGGGCCAGATTAACAGCCCCAATCAAGGAACTCATATTCTATGAGGTCCAGCTGGCTGACCTCATTACAATCACTACAGGTAAGCTCAGGTTATTTTCTTTAGAGCAGATTAGTCTATGGTGGTAACCTGACTGAAGTGTACAAGATAATGAGATGTGTCAACAGGGTGGATAGGAAGCAGCTATGCTCCTTCATTGAAGGGCCAATAACAAGGTGGCAAAATTTTAAGGTAAAGGGCCATAGATTTACAGAGTATATGGGGAAAAACATTTTCACCCAGAGACACTGCCTGGCAGGGCAGTGGAGGCAGAAAAGCTCACAAACTTTACAAAGTATTTGAATGAGCACTTGAAATGTCATAACATTCAAGGCTATGGGCCAAGTACTGGAAAGTGGGATTCTTGTAGATAGGTTGGCACAGACTCAATGGGCTAAAGGGCCTTACCTGCACTGTATACCTTTATGACTATATGTCATTCACACATCAGACACAGATCCTTAGTATTTCCTTGACTTCCCTGCATTCAAACCATCTATCTGAGGATCAGGAAATGTCTACCCATTAGGTGCAGAATTTTGCCCTAGTTCACCTGAGGCAATACATGTTGAAAAATTGGACAGATGGTCATGCACCTATAAAGTATCAGTAGTTTAAAATCACTGTCTCTTGAATTATTTTGCCTCTTCTTCTGTGGTGGCAATAAGGTGTCATAGTTCAATGTAGTTGTGTACCCATTAGAGTTTACATGGTAGTGAGCTATAGATAGTCAGTAAATGCAATTGTATTGATGGATTTTCTAAAATTCTCTTGTGTCACCAAGGAGATTAAAAATGCAAATAACCTCTAACAAAAGTTCTTTATAAAAAACATTAAATAATACCTAATTTATTTTCTATGGTAATCATTATGTTCTGTGTTTTATATTTTCTGACCAGTATACATTTTTAACTTCAAAATCCATCTGTTTTTACTTATTTATGGGAAGTGAGCACTGCTGACAAGGCCATTATATATTTTCATTTCTTATCCTAACTGTTTAATTGAATGCTGCCAAACTCTGTCATACTCCATCACGTGGTAAAATGCTTTGATGTTATTTGGTTTTTTTATAAAATGACCATTTACAACCTATTCTAACAAGTGGTGTGCGCGACATGAATCTGGCAGAATCTTACTTTGCTTTTCTATGCCTGAACTATGCTTGTCCAAAGTGGGTGATCTGGCTAGCCTCATTACTTTATTTTATGGGAGATAGTTATCAGCTTCATGATTTCAGTCTAACACAATGGAAGCCAAGAATCTGTTTGGGAATCTCCCAATCAGTCATTGTAATTTTAGAGGGAGATTGGCAGAAACCCGAAAATAGATTTGTGCTTGCATCTGGCCTTCTGCCAATTCTCGGTTGAGGTCATGGTCATCAATTGGAAGAACCCTCCCAAGGAAATTTATAATAAAAACATTAAACAGCAAGTTGGCAGCCAGGGTGTTACCTTCTTGTGCGCAAATACATGGCTTGGTGTCAACTCTTCAATGTGATTTATTAAAACATGTCTTTGTTTTTGCTCTTTCAGCCCAGTTTGTTAATATTCCAGGAAGCTGCAGTTTTGATGGTTCAACTTCAAGTTCTTTGCTGACTAACTGTAGCTTAATGCAGAGGAATGATGATGATTTTGACTGGATAATAGCTAGCAAAAGCGGCACTGCAGGGACTGGTCCAGTAAGTGATCACACACCAGGTAAGTACGTATGCCTTAATCAATCATGCAGCAGCATGTCAAAACAAACTGCTGTTGTAATCCGCACTATATCTTTTCCCACCTATTTCTGACTCCATGAAAGCAACTATCCCTGCCATTGCCTCAGTTCCTCTGCTTCTGAGACCCTTGCCGACGCCTTTGCAGTCTCTACACTTGACTATTCAAAAACAAAGTTGCTGGAAAAGCTCAGCAGGTCTGGCAGCATCTGTGAAGGAAAAAACAGAGTTAACGTTTTGGGTCCAGTGACCCTTCCTCAGAACCGGACCTGAAATATTAACTCTGTTTTTTCCTTCACAGATGCTGCCTGACCTGCTGAGCTTTTCCAGTGACTTTGCTTTTTTTCCTGATTCACAGCATCCGCAGTTCTTTCGGTTGTTATTGACTATTCAAAATATTCCTGACCGATGTCTCACATACTCTCCTCTGTAAGTTTGAGTCCAATCAAAAGTTTTTGGTTCATGTCTGGACCAAATGACATTTATCCATCACTCCAGCTCAGTGACCTACCAACATTGCCTTGATTTTAACATTCCTCTCTTTGCTTTCAAATCCCTCCTTGGCCTCAACACCACCCATCTCTGTAATCTCCACTGATCTTACAATTCTCCAAGCTGTCTGCACTTCCTTAATTCCACCTATTTGAGTATCCCTGATTTTAAATGCTTCACCATTGGTGACTGTGTCTTCAACTGTCCAAGCACTCGACTCTGAAAATTCCTTCCTTAACATCTCTACATCCCTATCTCACATTCCTCCCTCAATACAGTGCTTAAAACCTATCTCCAGGACCAGCTTTGGTCATCTACCCTGATAACATGTTATATGCTTTGTTGTCACATTGTGTTTTATAATGCCACTGTGAAGCAGTTAGGGACATCTTATGACATTAGATATGCAATGTAAATGCTAGTTGTTTTTCTAGCTCTGAGAAAATTAGTTATTTATTTCCTTTCACTAACTTTAAGTGAGCTATAATCTATTTCAAAACATGCATAATTTTAATTTCATCTTAAAATGAAACTAAATCAATGTCCTAGCATTTGGGGTTTACTTTCCATACCCAGAGCTGCTTAGTAATGACTATTCTACTATTGCTGCATTCTAAATAATTGTGTAAGTTCCTTGATTGTGATAGCTGCAGCAACCAACATTTTGAATAGACAATTCAACGATTTGATGGT